ATGACATCACAAGGTGGAACAGAGCATTTTTGAGCTGTAGAGATGTAAAAATGCAGCGTGGCGTCTTACATGGCTTAAAGCTCGAGAGAGAGAGAGAGAGGCTTAAAGTCTCTTTTTTTTTTTTTGTAACATAGGACCTTAAACTAAAATAAATAATGAATTCATAGCAATAATAGCAAATAAACAAACAGGCAAGCTTCAGGTTACAACAACAAGCGTGCGCTTCCTGGTGAGGTGACTGGGCGTAAATACTGTACTTTTCCAATTGGCTACTGTATGGTTCATCAATTTTGACAAACGGTATCTGGTAGAGATAGGTCCACTGTTTAGCTGTAATGGTAAAATTAAATGCAATCTATTTCATTCAAACAAATCGACACCTTATGTGAAATGCAGAAAGTTACTCACAGAAAGTTTCAAGAAGGAAGACAGCAGAGACGCGTCCAGACAACCCCCTACACAATATGAATTCGACAAACCGGTTTCCAAGGTTTTTCGGCAGAAGTTACTGAAGACTATTCCTCCATTTTAGCAGCAGACCCGCCGAGTCCCTTCCTCCAAAACCAGAGTCCCAAAGCTCGGTGGAAAATACTCAGAGAGATAATTATAGCCCTTCCATTGCTTTTGTGTACACCAAACTTCCTTCCTCCGTCCAAATTACCCCGTGATGCTTGTCCTGGTTCAGTCTGTGTCCTGTAAACTTTTAACGCGTCTCCAAACGCGCGCTGTTCGAAGTGCAATCCTACCTGTGTGCCAGTGCCACACCTGGGCCGCTGACGTCACACACAGGGGGCTTCTTGATTGGCTGTTTAGTTTTATCTCTTTAGTTTTGATCATACTGTGAACACCTCTGCTCTCCTCCTCCACTACAGAAACTCTTGGGAGTGAAGGAGTGTGTTACTAGAATGTATGAAAGAAGTTTTGTTTTGGTTTCAGTCATGATGATCTTCTTAACCAACACAAGATGGCGCCAGATCACAGAAAAGTGAGATCCATGGACACGCTGTGGTTTTAAAGATGCGCTATGCAACTTTTCATTTTGAGAGTCCAAAAGCTGCTTGTCCGTCTCCATTGAGATGTTATTACTTTGTGAACAATCAGTCAAAAGATGTAATATTTAGGAACTAATGTGAACTGATGGTCTGTTCTGTAATGTAAAATGTATTACATTGTCTCACATCTATATTTGAAATTACCATGACATAAACTATAAAATATAAGTATTGATATTTTAAAGGTCCACTATGTAACATTTCTGGGGCAGCGTCTCTCACTCGCCACAGAGATGCAACTACTTAAACTGTGTAAAACTTTGAATGTTTCACAGTATGGTAAGACATTTCAGTCTATGGACATGACCTGGTCAAGTTACAAATCAGATCCGTGGAGAGGTGACCCCACTCAGAGTAACAATGCATTTTTTTCCAAGGTGCTTTTGATCAACAACACATATATTAATTTATAAATGGAGAGGTTTATGCCATACAGTGGAACTTTGAGGAAAACAAGTGAGGTACCCTGCACCAGAAAAGATTCATAATGCACTTTTATAAAAGTGACGGTATTTACAATATTAATACTTTTCATATATTTATTTGATGCAGCTTAAAATACAGTGCTTATCATGTATTGTTGTTGATTTTACATAACAGAACATAGGCCACTGTTTTACATATTTCCTGAATATTTCACCTTGGCTTTAATGAATAATGCGTTCACAGCAGAGGAATCATATTGTACAGTATTTGCATATAAAAAGGAATGTCACTGAAACATCATAAGCAGTGATAAAAATGTGTGTTGCATATTTGACGACCACACACACAAGAGGAAAATCTACAAACATTACATTTCTGTGAGGTGAATTAAGCAGAAAGAGGCTTGTAATGGTGTAATACTGTGTCAGAAGGAAACACAAGGCAAAACTTGAATCACTTAACTTTTATTTTTTCAAAAGGGAAAAAGAACGCACATTCTTTAGGTAAAGTTATGAGGAGCTTGGGGCAAAAAAGGTTGGGTGAGTGAAGCAGGGGCCTTTACATACAGCTGCTGGGAGGGTATACAGAATATTTACTGAGCCAAAAAGCTTTTTCTACAGCGCCAGAGAGAAATCAACAGAGATCCGTTATAGTCAAGATTTCCAGAGAGCATATCAACAAGAGGGCACAACAAGTGGACTTTTTACATTACGTTTGATTCTCATACACCTTTTGGCCAGCAGCAATTCTATTCGAACGTGTGGGTTTAAAAACCGGAAGGAAAAAAAACATGGCACCTGAACAGTTTGATGTGGGAGGGGGTAGAAAGACAAAATAAAAAGTAAATCAAGAAGAAAGGGTGAATAAAAGAGCAGCCATCTTGTGAGAGGAAGCTGGGATTTTGTCGATGTCAGCTCACGAGACGTCTGAAAGACAAAACGGAGATAAAATGAGTTTCGTATTGTGAGATAAAAGGAAGTAGCGCTTTCTTTGTACTTAGTGGAACTTACAACTAGCAGGCCGTGCTCCGTATCTTCGCATTATCTGGTCTTGTGTGAATTTCACAAACGATTCATATTGTTCTGGGAGACAAAGTTGAGAAAATGAGATAAGAGGAGAGCCATCTTAAACATGATAGTCTTGTTTATATTGATAATAAGCTTCACCAGCAAAAAATATACATCTAAAAAGTCAAAGAATCTTGTAATCCAATACTGGCTCAATCCATGTGTCTCAGAATGATCAAAGTTAGGACCATTGCCGTATCAATAAACTAAAACTAAAAGCATAATACATCTTAAGGTTGGACAAAGTTCTTCAAAAATAGGAGTATGACTGAAATCCATGAATAGGCACCAGGTTTTTCTTGTTGATGTAAAGTATACTACAGTAACTGGTTGTCTATCCACTACATTCATAGTTAGATTAATACATATACACAAAAATGACTAAAAATAAAAGGTCTGACCCAGTTAATGAATAAAATATTAGAGATGTTTTACCTGCAAGTTTTGTGTTTAAGATCTGTTCGTACTCCTCCCTGATCTTGTCCTCGTGGTCTTTGAGGAGACGCTCACACAGGTAGCTTACTTGCCTCAGCGTAAAAGAGGGCTGGTCCTTCCTGGAGGCGCCTGAAAATACAAAGAAAACCAATACTGAGAATATTGCAAAATCACAGTTCAGCCTGCCTAAAGCACCATGGAAGTCAGTTTTGTAGTCCATCTATTACAGGAGGCGATAGCTTTCATCGAGTGATTCATTCCTCCTCAATGGTTTAAGTCACCTATAGACATCAGGACTTACATTTTGAAAATTAACGGTCTTCAAAGTTGGCAGAGCGAGTGCGGGCACAGCCGCTTCACTCTCTGGAGCAGTAAATGATGCCAACACAATGATCTATGACACAATTTCACATGTGAAAAAGTAGTGCAGCCCTAGAGCTATGCATCCAGATAACATCTCATACCAATTCTTACACTTTTTTTTTCCAACTCAATTGTGATGTTCCACTTTAAAAAGCCCCTGAAACTATAAACCCTGTGTGTTTCAATAAGGGACGACATTAGCCTCATTTCTATGAAGCAGCATAGGGAGTGCTGGGTCAGGACAACAGGTCGACACAGGTAAACCAGTTCCTGTTACAGCTGTTCTGTTTTCACTATGCAGAATGTAATATCTTAGCTCGATTCATCAGCCGGTTTCACTTCGTGGAAACTGTCTGACCTCGCAGCATTAGAATTCGTTTGCTCGGCGGTAGAAGGGTACTTTTTTATTTAATGAATCGCTGCTATTTGGTCGTGACGTATGTAATGTGCCAAATCCCGTAGGAAGAAGGGCAATAATGTCTTTCCCCTTGATAAAATTCACCAATTCAATTCGTCTCTTCGTTATGCTTTAAATCCTCAATTTTGGGAGTCGTCTACATCCATCTCGACCGCTTTGTTTACTGTTGTGCTGTACCACAAAAGGGACCCAGACAGACACTTGAGTTTGACATCATGGCTTCACGGCTCTTTGTTGATTGACCAGTGCACAGGTCTACAACGTCTTGCAAACCATCTAGTGTAATCCGATTTTTGACCTAGTCGCTGGAGAGAAATGAAATTGAGCAGAGGCACTACGTGGCACCAGCCTGGCTACTAATATCTAACATGTGCAGGAAAAATCTATATCTATGTCTAAACTGAATAATAATAATGGAGATGGAAACTGATCTAAACGTATAAAGTAATTAAAAGCCTTTAAAGATAATATCGGCCATGTGGTAATAAAGGCTTTGTCTACTTTGTATTTGAGACTGGTACTTATACTGAAGATCACCAGTATAGGCACAATCTCTACACATGCAAGTAGCACTCCTGCTCTGTAAAGTTTTGCACTATTCTGAAGTGTGCACAATGCTGGGGTTAATGGTTTATGGACACAGTAGCTAGTTGAATCTGTAATGAGAAAGATTTGGATTGCATTTGTTATATCTTGAATTCATGAATTTATCATAAATGTGCATAGGGTTACAGCTCAAAGGAGTTCACAGGGACTCCATTTTGCAGATGCATTTTGTTCTTTCAATGTGTCAATCAAAACCAAACAATCTATTTCCTGTCTCTCTGCTCATGGCCCTTGTTGACAGTGTGCTGTGTACCTGGAGGGGAGCTGGGGGCGGTGAGGGAGGAACTGGGGCTGGAGACATCACTGGAGTTGCAGGCCTCACTCTGGTTGAAGGCTCCCTCCAGCTGTCGCCGCCTCTGGATGCGGCTGTACTCCTGACGCAGGTTCTGGAAGATCTGCTCTGTGGGAAGAAATACAAAAACCCATTATATTTAAAGGGTCTATATCTGATCTATGTTTTAATGTTGTTTCCTCATTAAAAAACACACAGACTTTCGTTTCGTTTTTCATTCACACATGGTTAACAGAGAAACCTTGCTTATTTAGGCTGAGTTTTGAGTTCACTAAACACTCTGTTCCACTTTACTGTCATGTGATAATGCAGGTCGTACTCTACTGCATTTTTTAAAACTCCACACACCTTCACTACAATCATTTGGATTATTTCAATCTCAGAATTGCCCAACTCTACTAAGCAAAAGGTAAAAGGAGCTGTCAACTTAAAAACTACCTCTACATGACATCACAGCTTTGGAGATAAGCAGACTAAAATAAAGGGTTACTCAAACAAATGTGAATGAGACAAAACACAACTCCAGGTATGATTTTGATGAGATAACATTCTAATTTGCCTTAAAGCTCACAAGAGTAAATTTTAGAGTTAGAACAATATGAGCAGAACCACCACTTGGCAAATTTCAGTAGTTTGTCACAACCAACTACTATTATTTCACATTTCATGCCATTACCGTAAAATCTCAAGGTATTTTGTATTTAGTTTGGGTGCTACTAAGCGAAGGGTGTTTTCCAGACAGAACAAACATTTGAATAGGAAAACATATCATCACTGGCCATCGTGACAAAAGTCTGGCACTTCCCCTGGGCTCAAACCAACCTGGCCTCAAACAGCAGCACAGAGACAGGAAGTATGGTGTCAACACTAAAACAGCTGTGGTCTATGACAAACTACGAGTGCAGGCTTAAAAAAAATATGATAGCCATTTTTCACTTTCGCTTCTCCTTTAAGAGTTTAACAGCCCATATTTCAACAAACGTTTTTGGTCAAAGAAGGAACAGCTGGGGAAATGCTTAAATCTTGCATGTGATTGGGAGGAGGTTTAGTTGAAAAGGCAGGAGTCCGCACATAAAGGTTTGAAATGCTCCAAAACTAAGGTTGTTGATGAGTAATCTGAGAACGTTATGATTAGTGTGTCAAAACAATAGTAAAACGTTCATTCAGCTTGATTTTGAAACAAAGGAAAAGGCTTGAGTGACTACCACAATGTTAAATACTTAAATACTTTTCTCATATTAGTAGTTTTGACACCAGTTTTAGCATTGCGTTTGATCATTTATTTATTTGATGAGGACAGTATAATAAAATAAAATTATATAATTCAAACAGTAAGGCACCTTCATTACATTTGCAAAGTGTTATCTAAGGCAATAATTAATCTTTTTACAATTATATATGGGCAGTTTGGGCACTGGAAATTTGGGTTTGACACCTTTTTTCTGTCTGGTAAACAAGCTTCCCTTTATGCAAACACACACCATTTACTGACACATGTGACTCTAGATTTTTTAAGAGATACTTTACATGTTACACTCAAATACCGCAGGACATTTTACAGTTTAGAGTTAAAATGCAAAGAAATGAAACACAACTTCATTCTAAAACTATAGGCAATTTATTTTGTGCACAGTTGAGTTGAGATTTGGGAGGAAGAAAAATATTTAGAAAGCCATTTAAAAAGGGGGTCACTTCAACCATCAATTTATATCCATTTATTTTTTTTATTACTATAAGCTACTGAAAATATGACAAACATTTGATTAGAATTATGGTCTACACATATGAATGGCCCAGTCGCAATAAATACTCTATCAACTTATTGTTCAGTGTACTACAGAATTTCAATGTTTATTGTGTGTACCTTCTTGTTGACTAGAGAAAAAAATTTTGGTTATTTTTTTACCTGCAATATGAGCAAGACATAGACACAAACTAATTTCTTAAAGATGCATTGTGTAACTTTTCTGGTGGAGGGTCTGTCAAATGCTTTTCTCCATGGAGATGTTATTGCTTTGTCTGGAAAGTTTCACAGTATGGTATTAAACCTTTCTATCATGGAGACCAAACCAGGTCAGATCTACGGAAAGGCAGCCCCGCTCACAGTCAGAATGCATGTTTTTGTAGGTATTTTTGCACTATAAAACCACATGTAATTTAATAAACGCAAGGTAGATTTGCTTAATGTCACACTGTGGAACATTCCAGGCAGAGCAATGACAGTTGATTTGTATTCTGCTTTTTATTTATAGCAGCTCATGTTTTTTTTGGACATTTTTCTCTGATAATTCTGCTTTATAGTCTGGTTTCAGTATTATCGTTTACAGTCTATAGTTACTTCAGAAATATATCGCACTTCAAAATTTGTTATAGTGCCAGATCTACATATGAACCTACTACTAGCTATCATAAAACAAATGAAAAACTGAGCGACTGCTAGAATTTTATATTAGAAAGGGTGGAGAGAAGAGTGGAACATGGGAGTTTTTTTATTTTATTTTATGTACTTTATTTTTTTATCTTTGTCTTTTTTGTTTTTCGTTTCTTTAAATATTAAAAACACTTAAAATGAATGAACCAGCTGTAATGAATGAAAAACAAAACCACTCTCCTGATCTAATGGCAGTAACCCTAGCATTAGATGAGCTCAAATCCATCCAAAGGTCAAAAGAGAACGTTAAAAACAACATGTCAGGGCAAAGCGGAAAGATAACCAAATATTGACCCTTCCGGAAGCATCGTGAGGCTGCAAAAGGGGGGGCTCTTCCTCTATCTGAATAAACAGGTCTCATTTATCTTGGGTGGAGAAAGCCGGGGGGCCTTGTTCAAACTCGTGCCCAGAAAAGCAGGCTCTTCCCCGGGTTCAGAGGGCTGTTATTGGGCTGGTAGGGTGCTGAATGACTGGGGCCCTCCTGTAGAATGTGCCCTTTGTAACCTCTGGGCATTAACAATACACAAGGCTAATCTGACAGGCTCAGTGGGATGTGGGGGCTTTCACTCTTAATAAAGCAGTGTCTGAACAAAAACACCATCCCTGCACCTCACACGGCCACGGGCGGCAAATGACACCAGTGATTGATTGAATGACAGCTCAGAAATGCGGGCTATGCAATTAAGAGACACAAGAGGGTGGACCACTTCAGACTAGTGTATTGTAATGGTGAGGACAAAGATATTAAGGGGGCGTCTTTTATCATAATCAGTGAAGAGTGGAATCTCTGGATCAACTCTGACTTTTCAATTTGATCACTAATAAAAGGTAATAAAGGTCCTATACTATGTAAAATTTACTCTTCTGTGCTTCAAGTCATGTTAGAATGTTGTTACCTCCTCAAAATTATACCTGGAGTTGTGTTTCATTCATTACACATATTTGTGTAATCCTGCATTATTAGCTTGTCTACATTTCCAAATCTTAAAATGCTCTCTTTCGCCTGATTATGTCATGTAGTGGTAGTTTTCATGTTAACAGCTCCTTTTACCTTTAGTTCAGCAAAGATTGGCAATTCTCAAGCTGAAATGATTAAAAATGACTCTGGTGAAGTGTGTGGGGTTTGAAAACACTATGGAGCACTTCCTGTATTACCACATGACATCACAAGGTGGAACAGAGTGTCTTCAGTTTGAAAGAGGAACTGAGAATAAATTCGCAGGGTTTGTGTGTGAATGTGTGAATGAAACAACTCCAAATATATTTTTGATGAAGAAAAGACATTAACATAGATCAGAAAATTGTGTAATATCGGGCCCTTTAAATATTCAGTCATACATACCATTAAAAAAAATCTAATCTACATGAGAAATACAGGGCATGGTATGGCCAAGAAAAATGATGTTTTCCTTATGATAACAATGCATTGGAATTTCATGTCTACACCACTGATTTAAGAATAACTCAAACGGTAGTCAATTGTATACCATAATTTATAATGTATTAATATGATTTACTGTACATGTTTCGTATGATATAATGTATGTCTGTGTGTGTGTGTTTTACATTGCGAGCCCAACAGCTATGCTTCTTCCTACTCTTATTGAAAACAGAATGTTTATAACTATTTTTTTTTCCTTTAAATGTACACATTTTGAATGTCTTTCCAAGTATGCAGACTATATGTTGTGCTCTTAAATTTCAAAACAACCAACTACAATAGTGATGAAATTCATAAATGAACAGTATACAGTCCACATAAGCACAAGTGATGGACAAATGGGACCCTTCACTACGGGCACTCCTTTGCACTGCTGCCAACCAGTGCTTGCCACAATATGGGCGTTGCTTAGCAACAGTGACCCTGCCAAAGTCGAGCCAAGTAATCAATCTGAGGGTACTTCCGGGAGGTGGGGGAACTCCGGGGGGACTGAAGGCATTGGGCAAGCAGTGAACACAACAGACTCATACTTATACAGACTCTGCCACAGTTATGAAGAGAAGACACAGGGTTTAATGCTCAGACATGTAATAATGAGGACCATAATATCTTATAAGAGTCAAAACAAAAGTATAGAAAATCTCATTACTAAAACTAGTATTGAACTAGATACTCATTTGTACATATCCATACTAAAAATAGTCACAAAAACCTTTCCTGAATAGCTTTATAATGATATAATTACTATAAAACCATCTGGACAACTGAGGTATTACACAGATATAAGGTCACATGGTAAATATAAGAGAAAGAAGAATTATTTATTGTGGAAAATGACAACCTACCATCTAAATAAGTGTGGTATCAGAAGTAGCATACAGTCTATTCCTTAGCATTGTGACAACACCATAGATTGGCACTTGTGTAAGTAGTACTGTTCTGGAAAAAACATGTCAAAAATTCTGTCTAAAGCAAGTACAATCCTAACAGGCAAGAAGACTATAGTTGCTGTTAGCTGGCATTTCCTTAAATAAACTGAAGATATCATGATTAGTTTCTCTTTCATGCTCCTACCTGCACTGCTACATGCCAGTCCGCCTGCTTTGAACCCTCCTAGGCAGAGACAGAGGAGGAGTGACAGCTGACCTTTCCCCCAACACAAGCCTGCCTTTTCCTGGCACTGTGCCCGCAGAGCCTTCCCCATTACCTGACCAGTCAGAACCACACGCTTTGACAAAAATTCACAAAGACGAGATGACGGATCTGGAGCTGTGTCCTGTCTCCCTGATTTCAGAGGGTGTGACTGACAGGCAAGATTAACCAATAAGAGACGGATGCTCAGTTTGCGTAAAAAACAAACATGGCAGTTTACATGTAAAAAGGGGGAAAAAATAACATAAAAAACTGAGAAAAAGCTTGGATTTTTGTAGAATCAACAATCGAAGCACCAAACTCTTCTTTATCTCAGGTAAAAAAAAATATATTTATTTTGCTGTCAATGTTTGGAGAATTTTGAGATGTCTTTCACATTTGAAAGACATGTGCTACAAATTAGCAGCTGTGGTTGGATCGCCACAAGTTTGGACGGAAGATTTTCACCCTTTATTGTCCAGTTTCAGTCCCTTCTGGGTTCAGTAAGAATGTAACTGGGACTGGCTGGTCAGGCAACCTTTCCCACAGGGGCCCCTTCTGAGCCAAGGTGAGGCCAGTACTTGATATCAGAACCTTGTGTCTACTCCACACAAACACATAGCTGCACTGTGAGGGCAGCTGCAGCTCTGTACTGCCACTGTGCTCTCAATGCAGAGGACTGTTCCTTCAAGCTTATAAATAAAACATTATAAGAGGCACTTTAATATTCATGCAAAAACTATGTAAACAACAAATTTGAGAAACTCATCATACGGATTACACACCAAGGATGTGGCACCAGTAACGCTATGATTTTTGGGTGTTTTCCTGTACCCTTGCATACACTATGACAAAGGAACAAATTGTTATTGAAACTGCACGTGTGTCCAAAGTATGGTAGTGATAATGCAATCTGGACAGTGCATAGGATTTACATAAGGATAGGTTTAGATTTGTGTGTAGGAGAGATGATCACTCACAGCACAATAAACGCTCCCATGAGTGTTTTGATGGTGTACCCCACATGGGGCCAGTGCACAGAGGAGCTGCATTCCAGGTCAAGAGGAAAAAGCCTAACAATGCCTTAAGGGTGAAAGAGGGAGAGCGGCGGTGGTGGCCAGGGGGCTCGCTGATAGAGTACACTCTAGACAGGAAACATTAGCCGGGAGCTCCTAATGAACAGGATCCCATGATGTGTGCGCTGCCATTTGTCTTTTACACAGTCACAAGGAAGTGTCACCCAGGTGCACATCCCCGTCCCACCAGCGCAGAGACAGGCCCGGGCCTTTGTCTGAGACTCACTCACATTCTCAGTGAGAGGGTAAAGGAAGGGCCGTCTCTCAAGAAGTCAGGAGTGCATTTGTAAGAAGCAACTGAGCAAGGCTAGCAAAGTAGAAGCAATGTGCTTTCTTCATATAACTGTTGGCTACATTTGAACATAATAAAGAGAAAAACATTTACGCAGGGCGGTCAAACACGGTTTAATACATATTAGCTCAAGATGTTCACTTAGTGAAGCCGTTCACTGACGTTTGTAACGTTAGCTAAGCTAACGATTAGCCTCCAACCCCCATCTGATTCTCCACCCAACCCCCCCTCCCCCATGACACCCACCAGCAAACGCAGAAAAAGTCATTATCGACCTAGTTTCGATACCTGGGGTAAGACGACTTTCACCCCCCATAACCGGCGGAGACATCGAGTGCGTCGGGCTGTCGACAGACGGACGGAGGGTACATCTCTGCGGTGACGGAGTGCTGGGAGTCCCCGGTAAAGGGTTGCACCTTCTCCGCTTGGGAGACTGGGGACTGAGCAGGGCCTCAAACTCCATCGACCGCTTTAACGTAGCTCCACAAGCCATGTTAGCTAAGCAAAAGTGAAAAACAAAGTGAAGAAATGGACCCACAGAAGTAGGGGTTTCCTCCGCCCTGATTGCAGCGTTAACGCTCCGTGTTTGCTGAGCCTTTCTTCCTCCACAACAACGGATTTTCTTCTGAGTTGTGGCCAACTGAAGCCTGCTGAATTTTTAAAACGTCACAATGGTGGGCCGTACCATGTGTAGGGAGAGGGGGGTTCTCCAGAAAAGGAATATCTTTACATGGTTGCTAAAAAAAACTAATGCATATACAGGGATTTTGATAACAATGATGTCATTATAAACGACATATTTATGGACTTGATGACGCACGGTGCTTTTTAGAAACATTTTACGTTGCATTTGTAGGCATTAATCCCCTATTTTCAAAGTAAATCTCTGGATGAACTCTAAGTGGAGGTTCACGAGACGTCTGGTGATGGGAACCAGGTAAAAGAGAAAGAAAGTGTCTTCTTCACTATAATAATACCCTATATAGGCTACAGTATAGTCAGTGAGGTATATCATTTTGGTGAAGGGATTTTTCTTGCCCAATAGCCTGATAGGTTTATGGACAGGCTTTAGCGATCCAGGGTTTGTGATTTCAGACAGCCAGCACCACACATCTAAATTTACTCCAAAATAATGAAGACAGATGCATGAAGTCAATATTTGACGTTTAATAGCAATTGAGAACATACAGAAAACAGTATATAAACAGAAGAAGAACCAACTCTGGTGTACAATTGGGATAAATGACCGGTCTTACAAGCTCTGCTCAACATTTTTCACATGTAGTAGTCTTGCCTATTTAGGTGTAGGCTATATTACACATGCACCGGTCATGTTCGAGGCTTGTGGGTCATTTAGGATTTTTGACCCTGTTTCCAGAACAACTGCCAGTTTTTAACATTATACTACAAAACTAAGAAAGGCTTTTAACAAATCAAAACAATTAGCATTCAAGTGTATAGAAAGGCAAGCACTCAAAGCCTATGTGCTTTGTATGGCCTATGTATGTGTGTATTGTAGCTGCCAGTTGTTCCACTGTGGGCTGCCAGTCCTCTTTCATTTTCCTTTGCAGTACACTGCTTGAATGCACATGAAGAGCACATGGAAAACCCCCATGTCCTGAGTCTTTGTGATGTCCTGGCATTTGTGTGCGTTTAGAAAAGGCACCCAGCACCCATCTGTCTATGCATATTCAAATCCATATTCAAGACCAAAAACAAAGAGAATACCACTTCAAACAGAAATGTGTACATTTACATACAGTCTGCTTTCAGTACACACAGAGTGTGGAGCAGATTGGCAATTTGACTCCAGCAGCGCATGTCAAACTGTCCTTTAGCAAAACACCTTGCCCGAGTGATTGTTGTGTGACTGATGGTTGGAGACTGTGGCTATGGAGGTAAATACATAGTGAGAAGCTTAAAAGTGTAATCTAAATTATTCTTATTAGATTGTAATTCCTCAGTGTAACCTAATATAAACAAAATGTTCACTCACTTGCTTCTAACTGAATGTTGAACAGTTATTTTAAGTATCTTTGTGACAAAAAACCTACTATTTGCATGTGTGTGTTGTTAGTGTGATATCTTCAAACAGAGCTTTAATAAACTTCTCATCAACACACCAGTGAGGGCATTCTGTAAGTTTGTCATTTAAACTTGTATATTGCTGAACTTTATGAGTTTATGTGTTGTTCATTTTTGCAGACACTGAGGTGATCTGTGAGGCTCTTGCTTGTGAGGTGCTTAGCACCTCATGCTCATTCTCTGACAGGATTGTACAGCTCATGTCCGCTCCATCCTGTGATTCTGGAGAGAGGTGCTCTGCAGGTTTTTTACATTTGCCCATTTCACACAGTTTATGAGTGAGCTGCACCAGAGCCTCCCTGAGCTCTCGACAGCGTAGTGCGTACAGCAGAGGGTTGACAGCAGAGTTCACCAGGCACAGTGTGCTACAGAAAGCAAAGGCCCTGAGCTGAGTGTGGTTCAGCACTACACACACGTCTACTATCATGAAGGACAGTGCAGGGAGCCAGCAGCCCACTAGGATAAGCAGAATGAGCCCAAATGTTCGAGCTAGCCGGATGTCCATTCTCATGCGGGCCTGTCCTGATGCTGCTGCTACCTGCAAGCTGGTCATAGAGGCCTCATGGCGGTGGGCTTTCCATAAGATCAGAGCATAGGCTCCTAAAATGAGAGCCAGGAGAACCAGAATAAAGCTGGTCCAGCAGGCCAGGTAGGCCGAGTTGATGTAGGGAAAGAGGCGTGAGCATGGGTGGGTCAGGCCCGTGGGACACCTCCAGCCCATCAGAGGCAGGAAAGAGATGAAAGTGGTGGCACTCCACAGGATGAGCAGGCTCAGCAGGGCTCTGCGCCGCGTCACAAGCACTTTGTATGAGGACACCTGGTGGATGCACAGGTAACGGTCCAGTGCTGTGAGCAGGAGGCTGCCCACAGAGCTGGTGAAGGCCATCGTGACTCCTCCTAACTTGAAGAGGTACGCTGTGGGCCCATCTCTGCGCCGAAACAGATGGAAGTCCAAGAAGCTGGTGGTGAAGAAGCAGCTGGCAAACACATCGGCCAGAGCCAAACTGCCTATGAACAGGTAGGACGGCCTCCGCCTGAGGGCTGCTGTACACAGGATCACCAAAAGAACCACACTGTTCTCCAGAAAGGTGAGAGGACCAGCCAGAAAACAGATGGAGCCAATCGCTGTCTTCTCAGCTTTTGTCAGGACCATGTAGCACTCCATGCCCACACACGATTTGTTTGCTGTAAGCACAGTAAATTATTCAAAAATATAATGTAAAAAAAAAAAAAAAAGTCAAATCTTACCGATTGGAGAAGAAAAGTTTTTTGCTTCTTTGGTATCTAGAGAACCATGAACCTCCCATGCAGCCATTTCAAAAGCAGTAAGCAAAGAGCACCAATTCAACTGCCTATAAGGGGAAAACAAAAAATATTTTCATTAAAATGCCTCACACATCATTAGAGTTATTAATTACAATTAATTTAATAATTAAATATAAAACAACATCCAGTGTGGACATAAGTATATATGTGACAGAAGATGAAATAGTTTTTGTTTCAGTCAATATTGAACTTAGAGCTTAAGGAGAGCATTAACATTTGAGTCGCAATGGAAAGTCATTTAGAGGTCAGGGTAAACATCATTACAGCGTCCACTTAAGGCCAGAAGCATGCCATAAAATCTCCATACTGCGCGCGTGATGTTACAGATGCAAATGAAAACATGACCGCATTGTAAAAAATACCAGGCAAATGCTATTGGCCATGAACTGTCCTCGGTATGACAAATACAATCAAATAAATCAAAAAGGCATTGTGCTGCGTCCTATTTCATTTTAAAACCAATTCCTGTGGGAAAGATATCAATGCACACTGAAGATTTAAATCAGACATACTTCACCTTTGTCTTTTAAATCATGTGTAGGAAAAAAAAAAGAAAAGAAAAAAGACCTGTTGGTTTATTTATCAGGGGGCAGAGTAGAAGTGTCAAAACAGCGTCCTCCTCTGGTCACGCACAGGACTGCACTTAGATGCTTTTAGTGAGTAGATAGGTGAAGGTCAGTGGCTGTAGAACGCCTCTCTCCTAGATGCAATCAATATATTAAAGTGAGTGTGAAAAGCTGCTGTAAGAGGATTTCTGTCATGTAATTAATAATGTAGTTATGAATCGTCACTGGCTTGTGCCCTGGTTTGGAAATAACTTTACACTTTATTATTATTTTATGATCAGAAATATTACCATTATTTTATGAATTATGGCTGTACACTGCTGGAAGAAAATATGTTTGTGATTTTTCTGACAAGCAGGAATATTTCAGTTAGATTTGTGGCATGTTTAAAAAGTAGGATTCTGTTCAGGGTGCACATTGTAAACAACTACTCATTAAGATTTGGGGGGAGACTGAAATAAGAATTGATATTAATATTACTAATATAAGAATGGCATGTATTTCAGAACATGTGTTGAAGGCCAATACAGGTACAACAATTAGTGTTCATTAAAAATACAGAATATTTATTTACGTGTAAAAAACATTCTATTAATAATTTCGGCTTTTGTAACTGTGCCAACTCAAACACTTCACAGAATATAACTATGCCAGATTAGGTTAGGTAGGAACTTCTAAAATTACAAAAATGTAATATTTGAATACTTACCCTGTACTTATGTTATATGTTATATATAAAATATCAAAATACAGCACTGAAACTATACATTTTCACATTTAAAATGCCCTATGCCTCAATTTCTGTTTTTTCAGTTTGACCTATCTATCTTGCCTATGTTTATGTGAATGATTGATTTGATAGTTTTCCTTTCGTGTTAAAAATTTAGTATTTTGTTTCTTCTTAAAATGCAGCCGTTGTCAGGAAAGAGTGTGGTGAAGATTGCACCACATTTAGATTTCAACATAACATTGAAGCACTTTTTGTACACATTTGAACACATGGGTATCTTTTGTCAAATGAAAGTAAAACAGTAAATCTGACTATTTTGATTTTTCAATGGAAAATTATGCATTACAACAAAATGATCTATAATGAAGTAGTATAGATAAAAGCTTACCTTTGTGGTTTTAATTGGTCTCTCTGTAAAAGATGACAATCAGCCCTATAGACGTGACTGGTGAACAGCGGAGATAAGGCTGCTATGAACACATCACAGTCGGGGGCAGAGAGAAGAGAGAAGAAGAAGAAGAAGAAGAGAGGGAGGGACATGGCAGCCACTCTGCCAAATTTCAAACATGTAGTTCTGCAAAAAAAACAAAAAAAAAAACAAAAAAAAAAAAAACTACAATAATAGATACGCTACTGTATATATAACAATAATTGTAACTAAATGTGTGTTTCCTCTGTTTGAAAAATAAGAGTCATGGCAGAGACATAAGCACTTACAACTGTCTGAAAAGGTCTGACAACATAGTATGAAAACAGCAGGGAATGAGGGGTGAAAAAAGTATTGATAGAGCTAGCCTAAAAGGTTAGTCTATGTACAAAAAACATGAAAATTACATAAAATATTGTTCATGAAATTCTGAAAAACTGTACAACTCACCCTTATGTAATACATAACTCTATGTCAATCACTATTTCATCTTTGCTCTTTTTCTCCTTTTGTGTATAGCTGAGATTTATTTTGTATTACTATATTTCAATATTTCTATATTTTATTTTTACTTGTACATTTATGTTGTAATGCCTTTTTGACACCAGTCTCTTGCTATTTCTGTTACTTTGTTTGAATTAAATATTATTAATTATAATTTCCCTTGTGGATCAGTAAAGTTTGTCTTAGTCTAAAATACAAGAAACAATAAAAAGATTAATACATTTCAATATGAAATATAAAACTCCATAGTAATGGGGTATGTCTGTATTTCATCCCACTCAAGACTACCACTTTACTGCTATTATCAAAGTGAGCGGTGACAGCCCTGTAATTACTGACATGATCCATATAGTTGCCTTGATCTACTCCTGTCATCTACGCCTCTTAACAAGAATCACATAATACTCAATACAGAGGACGACATCTCACTGATGGTTCTACTCTTTCCTCATGGACACGATGTATTCAATCTCTTGACATTTATTTGCCATAATCTCAAAATCAAATGTAATTTGTACCTTCCTGTGGTACATCCTTTGGGCTATTTTTAAATAAGACAAGTTAAACAAAGTCTCCTTGTGGCAGCACCAACATGACATGCATAATTTGTATGCCACGTGATATATTGTGCAGTAAATTTAATTACTGCAAACCATCACAGACACGGAACACTAATGTGTAATGCTTGACTTTGTTCACCTGAGGGCGCTGCTGAGCAAAATTAATAAATGGAGTTTTTTGTTTTTTTTTTCCCCTGGATTTAATTTAGCAGCATCGTTTGATTTAGTCCCTGTTGTGAATGAGCTAAAAAGTAAGATTTGTATGATAATCAGGTCACTGCATTATAACCCAAGGCGCTTAAATTAGTCCTACTTTTGTGTTTCAGTCGACCATCCCAAATTAAATGGCAACAAAAATAGAACAAAATCTGTGACCTGCAAATGAAAGTGACAGTTTGAGGTTATTTGTGTGTTCTCCTGTCTCTTGTGAGGTGCAGATCCAGGCTTGGGTTTGGTCGGAACAGCGGAAATCTGATTAGAAGAGGACAGACTCAAGGCTCAATAAGATTTACCCCCTCTCTCTCTCACTTAGACATCAGGTGCAGCTCAGGCCTGTACCCTGCTGCTAGTCTGAATTATCATTTGGATTATATCACAGCATGGTCTTCCTGCAGGGATCTCCATGGATACACAATTAAGAGGGCTTGCACTGGCCTCTAAAATTGTTCTATTAATTACATTTCCGTTTTTCATTATCATTGTACTGGACAACAAAAAAACTGGGCCATTAGGTCATGATTAATATGACTCAGTGCAGATGTAGGCCAAATTGAATAACATTTAATAAAATAAAAGTCTCTACAATTATTATAGATGAATAGATGCAATGCTAGAATGAAAGGAACATATTTTAGGCTGTTTATTATTGTTGTTCAGTCCAATACAATGCCAACATCAAAAAATTAAGATGTGTATGATTCCGGCACGTCCTGTTGTATTGTTCCACCTGCTTTTGCAATACTCAAATCTCACACGCACAGCTGCTAAAATCAAAGGACTCTTCAAACCCAACCTTGCAAATCTTAACAACAGGGCCACTGGATGCACTGCATGCTCTATACAACAGGACTCCCCAACCCTGTGCCCTCTGGTTGGGGTTACAGGGTGCTCAGCTGCAGGAGGGAACGCTCTGGCAGAAACCTGATTCTATCTGCCAGTACATTTCTGAACAACAGAGTGTAATGTCTACTATAAAATCCAAATCTACTTTATTTATATAGCACATTTTACAAACAAAACAGTTTCCAAAGTGCTGCACAGAGATCATAAAATGAAGACAACATAAAGGTAAGTTGCAAAATGTTGGTCACACCAGCCCTAAAACAATAAAACCAGCAAAATCAAATCAAAGCAAAACCATAAAAATCATAAACATGATGTACTGTAATGGGTCTGTGATGTTGTGCTGTGTTGTTGCTGTGTATGTCAAATGAGTTCTGTGTTTGTGAAAAAGAATTTACCCTTTGGAGACAAGAAACTCTGAAGTCTAAAGTCATGATTTTTGGCACACAGATTTTTATTACTTATTTTTATTGTATTTTATTTTTACTTGTACATATACATTTATATAATTACACCTTATTTGACACCAGTCTCTTGAAATTTTTGCTACTTACACTACTGTTCAAAAGTTTGGGGTCACTAAGAAATTTCCTTATTTTTGAAAGAAAAGCACTGTTTTTTTCAGTGAAGATAACTTTAAACTAATCAGGAATACACTTTATGCATTGCTAATGTGGTAAATGACTATTCTAGCTGCAAATGTCTGCTTTTTGGTGCAGTATCTACATAGGTGTATAGAGGCCCATTTCCAGCAACTGTCACTCCAGTGTTCTAATGGTACAATGTGTTTGTGCATTGTGTCAGAAGGCTAATGGATGATTAGAAAACCCTTGTGCAATCATGTTAGGACAGTTGAAAATAGTTTAGCTGGTTAGAAAAGCTATAAAACTGACCTTTCTTTGAGTGGGTTGAGTATCTGGAGCATCACATTTGTGGGGTCAAAACTCGACAGTCTATTCTTGTTCTTAGAAATGAAGGCTATTCCATATGAGAAATTAACAAGAAACTGAAGATTTCCTACAATGGCGTGTACTACTCCCTTCTTAGAACAGCACACAGAGGCTCTAACCTGAGTAGAAAGAGAAGTCCTGCTGCACAACTGAGCAAGAAGATAAGTACATTAGAGTCTGTAGTTTGAGAAATAGACGCCTCACAGGTCCTCAACTGGCAGCTTCATTAAATAGTACCTGCAAAATGTCAGTGTCAACATCTACAGTAAAGAGGCGACTCAGGGATGCTGGCCTTCAGGGCAAAGTGGCAAAGAAAAAGCCATATCTGAGACTAGCCAATAAAAGAAAAAGATTAATATGGGGAAAAGAACACAGACATTGGACAGAGGAAGATTGGAAAAAAGTGTTATGAATGGAACAAATCGAAGTTTGAGGTGAAGAACATTTGTGAGATGCAGAACAACTGAAAAGATGCTGGAAGAGTGCCTGACACCATCTGTCAAGCATGGTGGGGGTAATGTAATGGTCTGGGGTTGCTTTGGTGCTGGTAAGGTGGGAGATTTGTTCAGGGCAAAAGGGGATTTTGAATAAGGAAGGGTATCACTCCATTTTGCAACGCCATGCCATACCCTGTGGACAGTGCTTGATTGGAGCCAATTTCATCCTACAACAGGACAATGACCCAAAGCCCACCTCCAAATTGTGTAAGAACTATTTAGAGAAGAAGCAGGCAGCTGGTATTCTATCTGTAATGGAGTGGCCAGTGCAGTCTCCAGATCTAAACCCCATTGAACTGTTGTGGGAGCAACAAGTGCCCATCCAGCCAATCCAACTTGTGGGATGGGCTTCTAGAAATGTGATGTGAAATTTCTCCAGATTACCTCAACAAATTAACATCTAGAATGCCAAAGGTCTGCAATGTTGAAAATGCTGCAAATGGAGGATTCTTTGACGAAAGCAAAGTTTGATGGAAAAAATTATTATTTCAAATACAAATCATTATTTCTAACCTCATCAATGTCTTGACTATATTTTCTATTCATTTTCCAACTCGTGGTGGTAAATAAGTGTGACTTTTCATGGAAAACACAAAATTGTCTGGGTGACCCCAAACTTTTGAACGGTAGTGTATTTTGAATGTATTATTATCATTTATATTTTCTCTTTTTGTTATTATATTGTGATGTGTGAGCTACTGTGTCTAAATAATTCTCCTTGTGGATCAATAAAATGTGTCTAAGTCTATGAGTCTAAGCTGCTGCTACTATATTTTAAAGATGTAACTTTTCTAGTGGCGGTCACCTCTTACTTGTTGTTACTTTGTCTGTAATATTCAACAGTATATGTCAGTAAACCTATCTATTTTGCATAAATTTAATGGTCATGTCAACAGAACAGGGTTGGCTTTCCACAGATCTGACTTATAATTTGGCCTAGCAACAGTCTCCGCAGAGACAGTTCAGTTTAATGCCATATTCTAGGCAAAATAATAAAAGCTTCCATCAGAAAAGTGCCCTTAAAGCTGATGTTGATGCAGCTGCTAGAATTGTTATTTGTTTTTACCCAAGAATAGCCTCTGTTCTGTATTTGGATAAAGCCATGTTTTATCAACAAAAGAAAGTACTGAAGTGAAAATATCTTACATTAAGGCCCATATAGCCTATTATCTTCCATTCATATGTCCAGAGACAGCATAAATCATGTCTACATGCAGATTCATATTTTGCAGTCTTAAGTTGTGTAATAAAAGCATTTAGTGCCCTTATGTGAAACTATGTGCCCCCCCTCCCCCTGAGTGTGTGGGTGTGCTTCATGACACAATATTTAGTTGATCTTCATTCCTAACAGCTTTTCCATTGCTGACGTCCTGGCTTGGCCCCTTCTCACATCCAAATCACGCAGAGAACTTGTTGTAGCTTGTTGATTCGCAAAGATCCAAGATTAATGCAATGGGCCTGTATTATTTTGCACGCACCATCCCCCTTGTTTACTGTCTTTCCACTATAGTCTATATG